AGCTCTGCGGCCTGGGCGGGCGGGGGTCTCTCCTGCAGCGGGTCTGGGTTCTCGTCCCTCCCCCGCACCCCTCTTCCCGCGGGGGTGATATTTTTCCTCCGCAGCGATGTGCCCTGTCCCTCTCTCCGGACTTAGGTTTTCCCCCAGTAAAAGAGCTCATGCGTCTCTCCCCCTGCAGAGTTGAGGAAACAATTCTGGCAGTGCAGGGTCCAGTGCGGCCAGGGACAGAGTCAAGGCCACTCTCAATGGCACAAGCTGCACATCCCAGCTGCGACTCAGTTTCCCTTGCTGTGAAATGGGGGCCGATAAGACAGTAGTTACTACGATTTCAGCACTGCAAGATCTCTCAGATCCCCCTCCAGGCCCCTGCCCATACCCAAAAAGCAACACCCCCCCCCAAATAAGTGTCCCCACAGAGCTCAACCTGGACCTGGCAAACTGACCTTCCCTGGCCCACTTTGTATTGGATTTTCTCCCTTAACACACAGGCCCAGGATCCCACCACCCTCTGAGGAGTGTCAGAGCAGATCAAAGGGAGAAAAAAACTGTTGGGTGACCCTGGGTGAAAGCTTTTGAGGCTGAGCTGCCTTAGAACCTCTCTCCTCCATGCCTTTGATCTACTGGGAAGTGGGGGGAGGGGGTTCAGAGTAGGGGGTTAATCAGGATGTACTCCTCCCCTCCTCCCAGAAGCCTGGTGAGAAGGTGCAGCCACACCCTGGGGAATCTGGCTCTGCTGGAAACAAATGGAGAGAAGGGAAGGGCTGGGCTGGGCCACCTCTTGGGTCATGTCCCACAAAGACAAGACAAGCCAGTGGCTCTTGCATTATGATCAAGGTAACTAGGCTCTAGGAAGAACAGAGCTGGGCCCAGCTCAGGGAGATTAAATGTGTCAGGAAAGAGAGGAGGTCCAGGCCTGGCCTCCTGCCTCCTCCTGTTTTTCCACAGACCCCAGTCAGAAAACCAAGCCACCACCGATCCTCTTTTCTTCCACAGCATGCCATGTATGACCTTGCAGCCACCATACTCAAGGACTCTGGGTGTCCAATGCATGTCCCTCTGAGCCTCAGTTTTACCACCTGCACAGGGGTGAGTTCACCTCACCACTGGCCCCCTATATCATCTATCCATGGCAGCCTAGGTGGAACAGAAGCAGGAGCAGGAGGGCTGGACCACTGCCCTAAGGGAACTTGGCCTGGATGCTTACATTGGGTTCATTTCTATCTTCTCCCAAATTCCACCAGCTGTTAGTGCCCCAGCCTGAAGTCGGCTAGGTCCCCAGAGTGATGACCGCCCCCATATTCCAGCCCCCCCCCCCATACACACTGGGTGAGGGCCAGCCCTGCTCCAGCCAGGTGTCTGGAGGAGGGGGCCTTTCCTGATGGATGATGAAGGGCAGGCAGCCAGGATTGTGGAGCAGCCTAGGAGGTCACAGCATCAGTAGCCCCTGGCCTCTCAACCCCCTGGCCCCAGCTACTTGCCTTGCTACTAGCTCCCAAACTGTGCAGAGCCTGTCTCTGACCTTGAGGACCAGCTCCAGGTAGCCCTGTGGCTCAGCAGGTAGATCACCAGGCACCTCATGCTGAGATGGATCTGGAAAGCAGGTTTGGCATCGAGGCTGCTAGGCCTGGACAGCTGGATGTGGCCCCACCTCCCTTGCATCCCATCAGCCCGGCCAGAGTAGCCACTGCCGTGGGAACACACATTCTCTCTCATCTCAGCCTGCGAAAACCATCTCCTCCCATGAGAGAGAAACTCGTGGGCAGTCTGGGAAAGCCTTGGGTGGGGAGGGGTGATGGATTGAGAGGGGTGGTGGCCTGAGGTCTTCCCTCCACTGCTCCCAGGAAGCTAGGCAGCTCCGGGCTATGGAAACATCTTCCCTTGGGGGCATTAACCCTTGGCAGTGCCCTCTGGGCTAAAGGCCCAAGCCTTTTCCGGCCTGGGAGGACTGGATGGAGCGCCTGGCGCCTAAGGGGCAGCCTTGGGGTCAGTGGCTGTCACTGTCCCCATATGGCCCAGCTGGGCTTTTCTACCCCTCCTTGAGTTTGGGGGTATAGGCCTCACCTTTGGAGGGCTGAGCAGGACCAGAGGAAGGAGAGTGTGCATGTGCTAGGGGACATCTGGAGGGGCTCCAGCTGCCAAGTTTAGGAGAGCAACCCTGTTGTCCTGCCCAGGGAACTGAGAAGCCCACTGGGAAGCCCTCCAAGGATCACTGTGAGGAACCCAGGGGAATCAGCAGGCATCTAACCCCTAGGCCTTGGAGCCCAGTTGTGAGGAGGGGCCACAGTAGGAGGCCTGCAGGGTGGACCCC